AAATAAATCGAAGGTAAACAAATTGAGAAACAGGGTGCCATATTTCTAAAGCATGGGCAAGCTTTAACAATTACCTAGCTTTTCCTTCAGAGAACGGTTTTCGTCTTGTAGCCTTCCAATCAATTCAATTTGCTCCGATTTCAGGTTTTCATTGTCTCTCCTTGATCTTTGTAGTTCTTCATCTCTGGAATCTGAAAAAGCCGAATGTGTATCCCAAAGTGAACATTTTGTAAATCAAATAAATAAAAATTGATATCCTATGAATCTCTACTACTACGAGAACTGCTCATACATTAATATAGCATAGCATTACAAAATTTATTGAACACAAACTAATTGAGATAAGGATGGCATCTGTGTTAATCAATAGCAGCGTTCCTAGTTTTGAATATAAAGGTAATAACTTTATAGGAACATCAATGCATAATAACCGATAAAAATCACCTATTGTCTCCTTCATAGAGTACGTTTCTTCTTGTAGCTTTTCATTCTGGTGTAACAACTCATCCCGTTCCGATTTCAGGTTTTCATTTTCTCTCCTTGATGTTTGTATTTCTTCATCTCTAGAATCTGAAATAGCCAAATATGTATCCTATAACGCCAATTTAAGTACAGTTAACATTTTGTACATCAAATAAATAAAAATTGATATCATATGAATCTCTACTACTACGGGAAGTGCTCTTACATGAATATAGCATAGCATTACAGGATTTATTTGAACACAATTTAATTGAGAAAAAGGATGGCATGTGTGGTAATAAATAGTTGTATTCCTGTTTTTGAGTCTAAATGTTAAAACTTAACATGAACTTCTATGCATAATAAGTGTTGAAAAATCACCAGTTATCTCTTTCAAAGAGTTTTTTTTCTTTTTCTAGCATTCCATTCTGTTGAAGTAATGCATCCCGTTCTGATTTCAGGTTTTCATTTTCATTCCTTAATGTTCGTAATTCTTTGTCACTAGAATCTATAATAAGAAGAAATTCACTACTTTATTACAATTATAGTACCAATGAATATTTTGAACAACAGAGAAATGAAAATAAATCCCCCGTTAATCTAGATCTCTACTTCTACGAGGTTGATCAATTGAAAAAGCTAAAAAAAACAAGAGTAGTTTTATATGTGTTCCATTGAAATGCTTGTATTTTGTATTGCAAAGAAAAAACTTTTAAATTGTAAAGACAATCTGGAATTTTGTTTATAAAATAGACCGTACTCAGTTTGCCCTCCAATCTTGCTACTTGGTCGTCTCGGTTATCAGCAAACGATCTCAGTCTATATCCTGAAGACGATGGTCGATATCGCTTAATATCTTCCTCTTTCATGTCTAATTCTCTCTTTAGTTTTTTAATATTGCATTCCTTATTATCCAAGTCCTCTTTAAGTCGTTTGTGTTCGTTTTTAAGTTCACGCAGCTCGCTTGCAGTCTTGTCGTGAGACTTGAGCTTTTTTGCCATTGAATCATTTCTATTTTTGCCATCGTCCCTTTCAATTGTCATTTTCTCTAGTTGGTTTCTTACATTATGCACTTCAGCCTCTTTGTCTTTTACCTCCTTCTTGTATTCATTTTCCATTTCTTTCACTTCGTCTTGCTTATCAAATAGCTTATTCATATACATGTTTTCCATTTCTAACATTTCTTGCCTGTAGTATTCTTCCTCTGTGCAATACTTTTCGTCGCCTTCGTCCTCATTTTGCGAACGTTCCAACTGAATGAAAAGATTGGTAATCTCGTTCACAATCTGTTGTCGTTCTGGTGACAATTTTATCAGGCTCTTCTTTTTGTGTGATATCCCGTTTTTAGCATGCAATTCTATTCTTTTAGATCGCACAGCATCTTTGCACTTTCTGCATAAAACATTCCCAAGCATTGCCTGGCCTTCATTTAATGCGACACCAACATTGTCAAATTTTCTCATATTTGAAGAAATAAACTCCATGTGTTTTCTCACCTCACTTTTTAAATTCTGAAAAAGTAAGTAATAGAACGAAAAATTTATATTAAATTTTATTTTGCTTGAAAACATTATGTAATAAATAAATGTTACTAAAAAACGTTTAATGATATTTTTTCTTTGTCTAAAATTGGTTTGAGACAACCAGCTACGTTCATTGACCATTAATGAAGGTTTCGCAATCTAATTACAATCATTAAAACCAAGGATTTAAGTTTTCTGAAAACAATCTCTCCGTTTTTTAATCATCAGGATCTGATTATAATACAACATACAAGCATATTTTTCTCGATGTTGGAATTTAGGCTATGCTAAGATAATTTGATATCATCATTAGGTTATTTGATATAACAGATCATCTAAGATAATTTGAT